AATGGGACGTTATTATCGCCGAACCGGGTCAATGTTTCATCGATTCGGGTTTGAATTTAACTGATCGAGGAGGGGCGCGAACACGGCAATAGGCGCGACCTGAAATCTGTTTTACGGCTTTAAGATCGCACATATTACGCTTAAAACCTCGCGGATTTGACGTTTGTGGATTTAGTTGCTTGTTTTACACTGTTTGGGTGTGGCAGGACTGGAAATTGGTTAACTTTGGATAGCATATTAGCTGGTTGGCTAAGTGCGCGTGAAGAAACGGCGGGTTTCTAAAGACAGGAAACAAAGAGAAGAAACAGAAAATGGACGCCTGGCCTAAAGACTGAAGCAAACATCCTGTCGTAAAATAATGGCATCTTGGTGAAATGCTGTCTGATATAGCTTCAATAGTACTTAATAATCGGGCTGAAGCCCGAACTTCTGGGTTATAAATGTTTTTTGCTAAATTTTCGATAACGATAGAGGGAGACAAACACCCCCCGCCAGCCGCCTGGACTGGGAGCCCCATCGTGACACCTAGAGGCCGATTAAAGCTCCTGCAAAACTCCCCCCTTTCGGAAAAGTAGTGCTGTTTTACCTGCGTTTGGTGATTTACTCTCGCGTTGAAATCGATAGAAAGCCCAGGGTTTGTTCTTCCTTCAGTACGAGACGGAGTAAAATTGCGTCCTTCACCTCCAGCGGTTTTAATCCTCTCCCGCTTTTGCAGAGTAGGCTCCGCACAAAATGGCGGCCTTGAGCGGCTGTTGCGCATGCGCGTCACGCAGGGGGGCGGTGGCGTGGGGGGGGGCTGGAAACACAAGCAGTGTGCGGATTGGCCGTGTGGGGCGCTACTTTTGAATCTGCCCAACTCAATCCGAGCAGCCTTACCCATCTTCAAGAAACGACTAAAAACACATCTGTGCCACCTTTATTTGACCCTCTAAGACCCTCTAATTCTATTTTAATTCTACTTTATATTTATCTTTTTTTTTATTCTTTATTTAAAAAAACAACAAAAACAACAAAATAGCTTTCTATTTTTTCTATTCTATCTACTTGTTTTTCTTTGTTTGTGTGTATGTGTATATGTGTTTGTGTATAATATATATATATATATATATATATATACACATACATA